CTACAAAGCTGGTGAGGAGTCAGGCACAAGGCATTTGAGGAGGCAGTGTACCCCTAACTTGTCAGGGGAAGCAGAGAATAAGGAGGAAACCATGGAGGACTCCCAGGGCTTAGGCCAGTGGGAGGAGGGAGGTACCTCTGAGCTCCAAAGTGGCTGCAGTCTCACCAACCCTCTTCCTCCTCCTCCCCCCACAGAAAGGACCCACAGCAGTCCCTGAAGGACCATGCCACCTATGATGATGGCCTTTATCAGTAACTCACCACATGATCTCCCAGAAACCCCCACTCATCCTGCATGTCAAACTCAGACACGCCCCTCCAGCTTGCCGACACCCAGGTGTGGCTGGTACCCCTAGTTGTCTCTAACTGGACGTGCTCCTTCACACTCACCACAACTGCCAAACTGAGTTGTCTGCACATGTGTCACCTCCCCCAGCTGAGCCCCCACACCTGGCCCAGGGTCAGTCTAGAGTGGGCATCGAGTATCAGAGTCCTCGGGTGAATGAGGGATTGGGGTTTGGGCAACTGGTTGGCCAGATGGGTGAACAGAAGACAGGTGAGGCAGCTGTGTGGCCCTGGGCAGGTCACTTGGCCTCTTCGCCTCAGTTTTGTCGTCGGTAACACAGGTACTGACTGTAGTGTTACCTCCTCAGGGTTCCTCTAAGGCAGGGGTCCTCCAACTACAGCCCGCGGGCCACACGCAAATGCAAATATTGTATTTGTTCCCGTTTTGTTGTTTTACTTCAAAATAAGGTATGTGCAGTGTGCATAGGAATTTGTTCATAGTTTTTTTTTTTAAACTATAGTCCGGCCCTCCAACGGTCTGAGGGACAGTGAACTGGCCCCGTTTAAAAAGTTTGAGGACCCCTGCTCTAAGGACTACGTGTGGCAGTGAGCATACGCAGTGTTGGCGTGAGTGTTGAAGGGGCATTTACTGGTTAACACATGATGGGTGCGGTGAGGTGTACATGGACAGATAGATGGATAAGTGGACAGGTCTGGGGGTAGATGGATGGACAGGTGAGCAGGAGAGGGCACTGGATGCCTAGAAGGATGAGCAGCAGGTGGGGCTTGTTAGATGACCAGGCCCAGGGTCAAAAGAGGACATGGCCAAGTGTGGGGCATGACATCGGCTGGAGTGTGATGTCCCATGGAGACAGTGCAGAGGCAGAGAGGCCAAGGACACAGCCTTGAGAAAGTTCCGTGTTGGTGTGGTGTGGTGTCCTCCTTGGGGAGGACAGAAGGACCCACGTTGGTATGTGGGGCTGGGAGAAGCCTGAACATGTGCAGCTGAGAAGTGTCCTAAAACTGGGAGAAGGGTTACATGGACAAGGAAGCAGGAAAATCAACTGCGAATTGAAGTCCAAAAGAGAGGGCTGGTCACGGGCACCGGGAGGAACGCCCTGGAAAACACTGGTGACTATGGTGGGAGCAACTTCAATTTTAGGTACAGAGCTAGCCTTCCCCAGGCTGCAGGCGGGGGACAGGAGACAGAAAGGACAGGTGACTTTGGAGAAATGGACTGTGAAGGAAAGGAGAGGAATTGAGGAATACCTGGGGTATGGGGTGGGGGCAGGTTCAAGGGGAGGGTAGTTTTCGGACCAGAAATATGACATGTACTCAGGCATCCAGCATAGAAGACAAGGCCCAGGGATGGGTGGGAGCCATGGATGGAGGGTACCCACTGGACAGGAAGCCGTAGATGGGTGTGGGGGGAGTCTCAAGGGTCTGTTTTAGCGAAGTATCTCTGAGTTTGCCAAAGGACTGATCCCCACCCCCACCCCCGCCCCCAACATATGTCCACATATGAGATCTCTGGGCTCGGGCCAGGGAGAGGCAGGACTCAGAGGGGAACTGAAAACCCAGTTGAAGGTGGAGAGAGAGGGTCCTCCAGCCCTGTGTCCAACCCGGTCCCATTCCCCCCACCCCGTGCAGACCCCAGCCCGGCCGTACCTACAGACTTGGTCCGTGGAATCCCCTTCCGCAGGGAGCCTGGCAGCTTCTCTGGGCCTGGGAGGCCCTGGCGCTCAAACAGTGACTGTGGGAGTCGGGAGGGTACATGGAGGTTCCACCCACGCTCTTCCTAAGCCTCATCTCACCCATGCACTATGTCCAACGTGCTGGTGCCCAGGCGCCTGCCTCCATAGCAGGGCCAGGCAGCAGGGGCCTGGGCAGAGTGTTGGGTGGGTTGATGCCAAGGTGGCCAGAGCAGACAGCGGCCCTGGGTGTGGCCCAGGTGAGGCTAGGGGAGCAGCCCAGGAGGTGCCCAGTAGGAGAAGTGGGCCAGGGGATAAAGACACACTATTTGTGGCATGAACAGGGCTGGCACAGAATCTGCCTAAGGCACTGAAAGCCATTCAGCACGTGGTCAACTGTGGCCATTCTGGGGGCTGAGGTGGCCCCAAGTGTCTCCGGGAGTCTGGCGGACACTCACAGCCACTCCTAAAGCGTGGGGTCCAAATGATGGACCCCCACCCCCAGAAAATGCGCAAACACCCATGCTCACCCAGCCCTCAGCCCACCCCCACACCCAGCCCCCCAGCAGCTTACACTGATCTCGGCCGGGGTGATCCTCCGGCTGGTGGGCCGCTGTTTGACGGTGGCTGCCCTCGAGTCAGCATCCGCGATGTCAGGCCTCAGTGCGGGCTCCGTGGCGGCCGCCAGGATCTCATCTAGTTTCTCTGCACACCAAGAAGGTATCTTCTCAGCCACCATGACCTTGAGCAGCCTCACTGTTCTGTCCTCCCCACAAGGCCAGTCCCCCCATGCGGGGCCCATCTCAGACCTCCCACTCCCCAGGGCTGCTTCCAGACCTGGGATGGTGACCCTCACACACCAGAATCTGGTTCTGCACCAGCCTCCTCTCCACCCTTGGCGTGGCTCCAGGGGACCCTGGAGACCCCACTCCAGGAAAAGGCCGACTGACCCTTAGGGGGAGGACCCGGGCACACTGCCGAGGGCCCCGGTCTCCCCAAGATTCCCTGTCCTTTGACTTTCACTTCTCTCCTCAGCACAAGGCATCGCTGTCTGGGCCCCAGTGCACAGGACAGACCCGAGGTCCAGCGGGTGCCCACGAAAGATGCGAATCAATCAAGAATGAAAGAAAACAGCTGAGTGCCCCAGGCTGCTCAGGAAGCCAAAGAACCTTCATCCAGGTGGGAGGTGCAAAGAAGAGGGTGTGGGGCACAGTGGGAGGGACAAGGGGGACCCACAGGGCTGAACAAGGCCTGGGGGAAAGGCACCAGGAGCCCCCAGGCACTGTTCTTCTCAAATCCGTTGTAAAAGAAAAGCTCTGTTTGTTTTTATTAAAGCTGGTTGATGCTTTTCAAAGTGGTGTTTTTTTATGAACATGACTTGGAAGTTTTGTTAAACAACTGGGTGTGTCTGAGAGCTATCAGGTCCAGCAGGAGGACGGATGGGTGCAGTCGGGTGCCCACCTGCTGCCAGGGGACCCTCTCGTTCAGGAGCCCTGCCCACTCCATCCTTCACTCAGGTTCGAGATCCCACCCTCCCAACCAAGGGACTGTGCCAACCTTAGAGGCCCATGCGTCAGGTCACCAAGCGCCCCACGTGGGAGAACGTCTGGGGTCAGCCTGGACACCTCCTACCAGCACCTGCTGTCCCACCTCCGCACCCGCCCACAATCGCCGTGCAAAGCAGATAAGCTCCTGAGATGTCCAGTACCCAGCCCAGACCAGACCCCCTCTGTGCACTCACTTTCCTGGCTTAACCTCTTTATGACTCAGTTTCCTCCTCTGATGAAACAGCACACAAGCGGCCCCTGCCTCAGTGTTGTGAGAACTAGGACATGTCTAGAGGTGCCACCATGTGCCAGCTCTGAGCAGGCACCAAGCACCGAGCACACGTTTGCTACAATCAGCTCCACAGCTGCCCTGCAGCCCAGGGCACCCAGCCGGCCCTGACACCAGAGCTCCACCAGAGTTTCAACTCACCTGGGCCCAGGTGCAGACCAGGGAGGCCCGTTAGAGGCCCCTTGTTTGTTTTGTAATGAGGTGAATGCCTTCCCTTTGGAGCTGAGACCATTTAGGTTCCGGGCGACTTCCAGAGTGGGAAGTGCCTCACCTGTCATCCCACAACAACCACACGAAGAAGATACTGTTACTGCCCTCATTCTACCCAAGAAGAAACTGAAGCTCTGAGAGATAAACTGCCCAGATCACAGACCCAGTAAGTGAAAGGTCAGACTTAGCTGCCAGGCTGCCCAGAAACCACAGGCAAAAAGACAGGTATGGAGAGAAACACTTTCGTGGGAATCGCAGGACACGTGCTCACCTGAGCTGTGAATTTAGAGGCCTCTTGTCCAGGTCCAGAACTCAGTCTGAGACCCAACGCCACATGCTCAGTAAGGTAGCCAAGCACAACTGCTGGCTGTGGGCCATGGGACTAGGCCAGACGAGAATTATTTTCAAATTGGAAAGAATAAAAATTCTTCATACTATAAACTAGTGAGATTGACACCCAATCCCCCCCAAAATTAGCAAGTGTATTCTTACAGCATTTCAGATATTTAGATAAGGGAATGAAGCCCATTAGGAAGCGGTTTTGGGTCCCTGGCGTGCCCCGCCCCCGCTACCCCCCCCCCCCCCCCCCTCGCCCACACACACACCAGACTCACACACACAGCTGTCGTGGGGCCGGGGCGGATGCGGCTGTTTGAACAAGCCGGGCCTGTGGGGGCGATGAATCACCATCACTGCCCCTACAACTGGAGGCAGTGCACAGGCCACAGCACAGCTCCCTGGGAGCCCCGCTAATGAGCCGAGCACAGAACCGATGTGCTCCAGAAATAGTTCGCATGTCGGCCTCAAGGTGTGCACAAAAGTGTCCACAGAGGAGACTCCATCACCTGTTTTAACGCCTGAAAAGATGCCCAGGAAAGCACTTCATTGGGACTGGGGAAGGGGTGGCGAGAGCTCAGAGGGCCAGGCTGCAGGTTGTGCAGGAGAGTGTGGACTGCAGGTGGGCAGGTGTGTGCTGGCACGGGAAAGGCCCATGGGTCCCTGAGTGAGGACCAGTGAGCACTGGGTACATGGACAATGAGGGGCCACAGAGCCACCTCTGGCTTCTGTGTGGCCTGGACTCCTGTTCACTGAGAGGTGGGAGAAGCTGGCGGAAGCCAGGCCCTGAGATCTGACAGATACTGGCCCTCAGTGCCCAGGCCCAGACTCTGTCCCCACATGGATGCTGTGTCCCTCGAAACCAGGCCGGACGTACAGGGAGGAGCCTCAGAGGACGTGGCAGATGAGGTCTGAAGGTAGCAGCAAGGGGTGGGGAAGCCAACAGGTGGGCGATGCTGGAGTAGGAACTCCAGGCTGTCTCCCCAGTGCTGTGGGCCCAGACTCATGCTCTGAGGGACTGTCAGCACTGGGCTTGACCCCAAAACAGATCAGCACGGAAACAGCACCCACACACCAGGCACAAGGGAGCCCCCAGAGCAGACAAGAAAAAGCAACCTGGGCCAAGTCAAGCACCAGACACTCCCACCCCCGAAGTGCCACAGCTGGGTCCTAAACCCACCCTCCCTGGCTCCAGGCCTCCACTCTGGGGGTTCCCAGCTCTGCCTCACCAGGCCACCCCAGCTCACCTGAGCCACAAGGCCCCTGACCAAGCCTATCACATCCCCAGGTGACCCTAGCCAGGTCCTTCTACTGTGCCCCCACCAGATCCCAGAGAAAAGGCCATCAGGAGGGTACAGCCCAGGCCTCCGGACCACCCTGAGTGAACTGGAACTTCCTCATACACCAGCACTTCCCTGGACAGGGATCAGGCGAAGCTGTAGCCCTGGGGACACAGCAGATGACTCACCCCCTTTCCTTCTCCGAATGGAGGCTTGGAATCAAGAAACAGAGCAAAGGGGGTAAGAGGCAGGCTTCATCCTCAGCACCCGGGCCCCATTCCCCACTCCCTTTGCCCCACCTCTCTTCTCCCACCCCTTCTAACAACCAGGACCTCCCAGATCCCCACAACCCCCAACCTACACTCTCTACCAGACCAGAGGGGCAAATCTGCCCAATGCCAAATTAGTACACAGCTTGAAACTCGAGGCAGAAACAATCACAAGCAGAGACATATGCTTTTGTGTGCATGCACACACACACGTGCGCACACACATTTACGGTCCACTCACACATGTACACATGAGGCCCATGCAGTTCCACTCACACTCATGCACACTTGTGTGTGCCTACACACACGATACACACACACTTGTGCACATCCACATACATTGACTCACACACGTGTACACACGCTGCCCATGCATGTCTGCATACACATATGTGCACACATTTGTGCATGTCAACTCACACACAAGTCCACACATGATGTTCACGCACATGTTTATACATGTGTACTCACACACGATTACACACATGCTCATGCACATCCACACATACACTCGCTTGTGCATGTCCACTCACACATGTTTACATACATGCTTGTGCACATCCACTCACACACGATGTGCACATGCTTTTGTACGTCCCCACACATCCACTCACACATGTGCACACATTCATGCTCATGCACACACAGGCATGCACACACAGACATGCACACACATGTGGAGACGTCCACAGACAAGTCAGTCAAATTTTTTTAGAGAAAGGGCAAATCCCATAAAAACCAAGTTTGGAGTCACTGATGGCATCACTGGTTGCCCTGGGGCATTCTGCACAGTGTTTCCAACAAAGGGCAGGCCAGTCAGAGACCCCACACTGACGTGGCACCTGCCCCAACGTTCTCGTCACAGAGGAAAAAAGACCCAGAAGCTCAAGATTTACCATGAGAAAGTGGGTGAGCAGGAGGGGACTCAGACCCACCGGGCACTCCCAAGTCTGGGTCTCCACTGGCCTCTGCAGCCCCAGCACGTCCTTGGTTCTTATTGAGGAGATGAGCACGTGGGAACCCCGATGGGCACTTGCCTAAGAGCACTGGGGTGTCCTGCCCTTCCTTCTGCCACCTGTCTCAGGGGAGGGTCCTCTCCCCTTCCTCTCTGTTGTTTCTGCCAGCCCCTCAGTCATTCAGGGCTTTGCTTCTCCCCCACACTCTCTATGAGCCCCCCCCCCCTTGCCACCTGCTTTTTTTGTCACCTCACATCTTCCTTTCTTTCCAGCTATTTAGGTGATCTTCTCGATAGACTACAGGGACCCTAAATGGTCCCATCAGTTCTCAACAGTGTGACACAGAACTGACATGTTAATACTGGCAGTGAGCCAACGGGCTTTATTTCTACCTTTTGAAAGCACCAACACTGGACCGCAAGCTGAGCTCTGTAGTACGTGGGAAGACCCTGATGTCGGCCTGGCTTCCTCAAACCAGGTATTTCTAGAGGTCGGCACCTGGGCTGGCTTCCCAGGACAGCTGTCCTCTGGGGGGCAGAATGGATTCTCCTCCAAACAGAGAAAAAAAAAAAAGCCTGGGTCCAGCTTCGACCAAAGCTGTGACCCCTCAGTCAGCAGTGTGGACAGAGGCTCCGTGCTAAGCTGTTCCTTCCTCATCCTTCCCGAAACTCTGCTCCGAAAAAGTGGACAAAGATGACGCTGACCTGAGGCTGCAGGAGTGAGCCCCTGGAAGACGAGGGTTACACAGCAGCAGAGGGAAAGCCCTGGACCAGGGCAGAGAGGAGGGAGGATCTGCTGTTCAAGGGTTTCTTCACACAGAGCAGCCACTGGTCCCTGAATTACAGGTCTGGGGTTGCCCAAGCACCTCTTCATGCAGAACTGGGGGCTCCCTTCTGAACGTGAGGCTGAGCATGGCTGGGTAACAGCCTCTGGAAGGAGGCTCCTGGGACCCGCCCACCAGAGCCTCAAGATGGTATCTAGCCAGACCTCGCTGCCTAGGGGTATTGGTTCATTGATCAGTTTGGACCCTGACCCTCAATCAGTGTAGCAGATCAGCTCCCCATGACTAACCTTGAACCCTTGTGACCCTGAGGCCAGAAGTCTGCTAGCTTCCCTGCTGCACTCTTGAATGAGTGGGTTTTAGCAGGATATAGAATTCTAGGTGGAAAAGCATTTTCACACAAGACTCTGAAGTTATCATTCCATCGTCTCCTAGAAGCTTCTATTGCTGATTAGAAATCAGCTGTCAGTCTTCCCTTCCTTCCTAGGTCATCCAGCTTCTTTCTCTGGTGGTTACAATTTTTCTTTTTGTCTATGGTGTTCTGAAGTTTTACTATGACAAGTCTACATGTGTAGATTTATTTTATATTTCCTTGCTTGGGACTTACACTTCTTTAAACTGGAGTCTCCTCTCCTTTTTCAATTTTGAAAATTATCAACCATTTACTCTTCAAATGTTGCCCCTTCCCCAAAGTTTTTATTCTTTTGTGTCTCATCTGCCCTTTGATAGTTTGTTATCTCCTTGTCTCCTGTGCTGCATGTTAGGTGATCTCTTCAGACTTATCTTCTAATTCACTGTTTTCTTCTTCAGCTGGGTCTGTGAACAACCCTGCCACACTGAGGAATCCTGTTCATCTCAGAGATTTTTTTTTAAGTCCCAGTGGCTATAATTTTTGTTTCAATACAGTTTTTTAGAGATCCTTTTAAAATCTGCTTTTTCTTTCTTTTTTTTTCCTTTTGGTACTGTCTTGTTCTTTCACTATGAACTCTGTCATTTCTCTTAAACTCTGTATTTAAACACATTATTTTGTCTCTTTCATATTCTTCTATGATTTTCAGTTCTTTTGATGCTAATTCCAGTTCTTGGGTGTGGTTCCAGCTTTGGGTCCAAAACCATATCTCTTGGCTTTGTGGGGGCATCAGAGCCTCAACCCCTTGCCCTGGGAATCTACATCCTGTCCCAAGCCATCATGGACTATGGCAGCATCAGCTTCCTCTCTTTTTGGCTCTGATTTCTTTCTTCATTTTTGAGACCTAGGGAATTCCTGTTCTTCTGTTTTAAGTTAGCTATGTGTTTTTATTTTATTCATAATATTCATGGGGAAGGAAAATCCTGTCAATTCTGTTGATCTTGGTGGCTGTCTTCCATGATAAACTACAGTCAAGAGTACCAGCTTGCACAGGGTGGCTCAGCCCGTGGCCAGGATGGGATCAGGGCTCAGTCAATGACTCAGGTCAGGAATAACTTTAGCAGACAGGTAGGGCTCTTTCTATGGCTAGGGAAGAACCAAGCCTAAGCCAGGGTTGAAGCTCATTCTAGAACCAGGATCAGGGTCAGGACTGGGATAGATCCTGGCTGAAGCCAGGGTAAAGTCTGGGACCAGGACTGGGTATAGACTGTAGAAGGACAGAGCACATTAACAGTCATGTGACTAGGACACGCTCATGATGAGGACGCTGATGGTCACGAATATCAGGACATGGCTACGTATATCTGGACACACCTATGACGAGGCTATTAACAGTCACATATCTCGAGACAGGCCCACAATGAGGTTACCAACATCACTCTGGGATTGTGCCCACAACATGCCCCATCAAAGCCCTGACACACTCTTATGTGCCTCCTGCAGCCCACGAGGGCCTGCCCGTCACTGAAGCAGGGAGGTGCACACAGCCCTGTGAGGTCAGCCGCTCGCTGTAATTGCCCTGCTCAACCAGTGAGTGAGCTGGTGCTGAGGGTAAAACAGAGGCACAAGCCACACAGCCAGGGCCCGGATCCTGCCCTTTTCTCACGTGGGTGAAACGAAGGAGTAAAGTCAGACTGGAGAGCCACAGGCAGCACATGTGCACGCATGCAGACACACTGGTGGGCCAGGCCCTGCTCCTGCCACCATCTGGTGGCCCCATATCCATCTCCAGCCCTGTCTCCAGCTCCTCGGCCCTCATCCCATCCACATGTCTCCCCCTCATCATCCCACCATTCCAGCACCCACCCATTTACCTTAGACCTCTTCACACATCTGTCTGTCCTTCCTGCCCTCTCTCCCTCTGCCTGGCTTTGGCGCCAGCTCACTCCACCTGGCCACCCACCCTGGGCTGCCCTCAACCTCCCGCCCCCACTGCTCACCAAGTTCCTCAAGCTCAGCCGTCATGGACTTGGAACGCAGGGTCAATGTGGTGCTGGGGGCCCTCTTGGGGGGCGGCGGGGCTGCAAAGAAGAGGGAGGCCTTGGACCTCCTGTCCAGCAGCAGGCAGCGCGGCGTGGCCAGGTGCAGGTGCCACTTGCGCTCCACCGCCTGGATCTCCTCGTACTCCCGTGAGGACGTGTCACATTGCGCCAGGATCTTGTTCAGGCTGCGGCTGGATGCAAACTTCTTCATGGCGCTGGGAGCTCAGGGGGTGCTGAGGGCCAGGCTGGCCAGGGGCCTCAGGAGGTGGTCAAGAGCCCCAGGAGGGGTCACGGTGCCGGCCAGCTCTAGCCTGAGTGCCCACCCTTTAGCCTCTGAAGGCTGAGCAAGGGGCACCAGAGCCATGGGGTGGGGGCTGGGAGGGGTCCCCAGCAGGCGGGACTCTTGCTGCTCCAGGGCTCTCCCAGACCCTGGAGGCCACTGCCCCAGGGGACTCTGGTGTGGTCAGCTAAGCCAGGGCCTGGGCTGGGCCCGGCCAGCAAAGCCTCCTGGGCCCAGGCTGATCCGCGACATCGCGCAGGGAGAAGACGCTCTTCCTCTTCCCTCAGGTGCCACCTCCCCCTTCCCTCCGACAATGAGCGGAAGGCAGCGTCAACCTCACAGTTGCTATGGCAACCCCGGCCTCCAGGCAGCTGCTGGCAGAGCAGGGAAGGAGGGCTCTTCCACACCAGGGGCTGGGGGATGCCAGGAAGCAGGAGGCGGGGATCTGAGGAGGGGCAACCTGGGGTCAGGGGTCACAGACTGGGGGCCAGGGGGCCAGTCCAACAGCAAGAACTGGGAAAGCACCCAAGCCACGAATGGGGCATTTCACTCGGGTTCAGACGTCTGATGTCAGCCGTCTGGGGTCAGGGGATGGGCAGAGAAACGGGCCTGGGATCAGAGGTCTAAGGTCAGGAGCCAGAGGGGAGAGTCTGGGCACAGAGATCTGAAGCCGACACCTCACCTCTGCGTCGAGCCCCGTCTTCTTCCGGCTTCCTTGTCACCGACACAACCTTCATGACGAGACGGTTCCCGCCCTGGCGGATCAGAGCCACCACCTGCTTATGTCCGACCTTCACGACGTTCACCCCGTTCACCTGGGACAGACAGGGGGGTGGGTGGGGGTGGTCCAGGTGTGTCCTCAGGGCTCAGAGGTCAGCACCCACCTAGACGCACAGGTAAGGATGAGCCTCACCTCGATGAGGAAGTCTCCCGTGCGCAGCCCGGCCCTCCAGGCCACGCCCTCCACATCCACAGACTCGAGGTACTGAAGTGCAGGGAAGGCCGGTGTGGGGGTGAACTCCTCGATGGGGGTCTCTGCTGCAGGGTGGGCGGGGCGTTAGGGAGGGGCTTCACTAGTGTGTCCAGGTGGAGGCGGTTGTCACACAGTAACAGCCCAAGAGTGGTGCAACATGCCAAACGATAAAACCAGGCAGAGCGCCCTGGGCTGGGCAGTGGGCAGGCGCCACCCAGGACAAGAGCCAGTTCGGGAATCCAAGGTACATCCCTCTGAGAAACTCCCCTCTCACCCCCACCGAGAGGCCCCACTGGGTCAGGCACACGAGAGCAGCAATCTTGGATGTCCACAAGGAGGAGGAGTCCCTGCCCTGTACTGAGACATTCCAGACCAAGAGTATAGTCACAGCAGAGGGACAAGGACGGGTGGGGCCTGGAGAGGGGATGGGGTGACACTGGGGACAGGAGCAGGGGCAGGGAGGAGAGCAGAGGGGCGGAACAAAAGCCCCAAACAGTTTGCAGCCCCTGCCAGCCTGACACCCAGCGCCCAACCCTTCCTTACCTTTGGCCCCCCGAAGCACGAACCCAAAGCCCTCGTGGTCCCGTTTCTGCAGGATGGCCACCTTGTCATCAATGACATAATCGCTGGCGGAGGAAAGCAGGGAGGGGTGAGGGGAAGCCTGCTAACACGCTGGCCAAGCTGACCCCCACGCATGCCCCAAGAAGGGTCCCTCAGGCAGGACCCACCCTGGGAGGGTTGCCCTTGGACGGACCTGGGAGGGCAGAAGACAGAAGGCTGGGCACCACCGCTCCCTCCTCCTTCCTCTTCACCCAGGCCTCCTTGCCCAGCTCTCAGCCTCCCTTTACATTTGATATCCCACTCACATGCGTGCCCACCTGCCCACCTGCCCACCTGCCCTGCGGTACCTGTGAGAGGTGAGGCTGTCATAGGAGCCCACAGTGTAGTGGCGGAAAAGTCGCTTCGTCCGGTCCTCCCGTGTTTCTGAGGGGAGTTTCAGTTGCTGATGGAGGGTCATATCCTCCAAGCGGCCTGAACAGCCCCTCAACCACAGTGGTCAGCAGCCCCTGCCCACACCCCCTGGCCTGGTTGTGCCACATGGAAGGGGGGGAGTGGGGGAAATCCTGGGTCCTGGCCCAGAGGTCCTGAGGTCAGAGGCCTGAGGGGACCATATGGGAAATTCTGGCTTCTGGGGTCAGGGTTCAGAACAGGGCAGGGGCTGTGGGTCATCTCTCCCCCATGCACACGGCAGACCGGACAAGGCCACAGAGAACCGGAGCCCGGAGTTACCAGCAAAGATGTCCATGTGTGAGGCACATGTGTGTGGCCCACAGTCGCGTGTAAGTGCTGTGCTCACATGTGCTTGTGCATATGCATGTCTCTGTGTCCAGTCATGTACCTATGTCATGCTACATGCCCACATGCACTGCCATGGAAGCAGCACTGTGTCTTCACTGAACCCCTCACACGGCCCACTGATGCTCAACCTCACGGGGTCCCTTGCTCCAGGTCCAGCCTCTGAGTGCACTGAATCCGGGTGTGGGGCTGGGTCCCTTCCCTGATGTCACTACAACGCACAGAGCTTTTTCCCACCTGTACTCTTGATCTTGGCGTCCCTCACAGCCACTGCTCCAACCCTGAGCCTCCCTGATCCCCTGCAAACCTGCAGGTTCTATGGGACGTACCCATCCAGCGCCTCCCTGCTCCAGGCTCACTTCTCCAGCTGCCCATGAACCAGATTCTCTGTCCCCCAGACCTCATAGCACCTCTGCCTCCAAGGTGTTCCCCAGATGGTTCCACTGCCACTCACATTTCATCCCTCAACTCCTCCCTCATTCTCTATCATTTTAGTATTTTTCAAGATTAATTTATCCATTCAACAAGTATTTATTGAACTCCTGCTGTGCACCAGGCACTCTTTGTTTTAGGCCTCTGAGAATACAGCAGATAACAGAACTAAGCCCCTACCTTATAGAGTTTACAATTCTTTCGAAGAGAGGGAGAGCAGACAAGAAATACGTATATACATAACATGTCAAATGCTGGTAAGTGTTAAGAGGATGCAGGACGGGATTACAGAGAAATTTCACGGTTCTAGGTGATGGAGGGATAATGGATGTAAAGATGGATGGATGGGTGGTCACATGAAGGCCTACCCAGGAAGAGACACTTGAGCAAAGGCACAGGCCATGAGGTAGCCACCATAGATTGCATGGGTAAAGGATTTCCTGGGGGCGGGCACTCAGGGTAGGAAATGAGATCAAATGAGAATCTGATTTTTTTAAAATGTATTTTTATTGATTTCAGAGAGGAAGGGAGAGGGAGAGAGAGATAGAAACATCAATGAGGAGAGAGAATCATTGATTGGCTGTCTCCTGCATGCCCCACCCTGGGGATCGAGCCCACAACCCAGGTATGTGCCCTTGGGCGGAATCAAACCTGGGACCCTTCAGTCCGCAGGCCAATGCTCTATCCACTGAGCCAAACCAGCTAGGGCCCTGTGATTTTTGATAACCTATCTCTTCCACTAATTGTGAGCTAACATTTATTTCTGTGATCCTAGCACCTAGATAACTAGAAGGATAGATGGGTGGACAACTGGGTGGGTGGGTTGTTAGACAAATGACTATATGATGGATGGAGGGAAGGAGGGATGGAACAAGAAATAGATGGAAGGAGGGATAGAGAGCAGGAGGGATGGATGAAGGGATCAAAGGGTAACAGATACATAAACAAATGGGAAGGTGGACTGAGTGGTTTGATGGAGAGGGGATAACTAGATTGGTGGATGGATGGAAGGATAGGTGGACGGATGGATGAAAAGACAGACAGATGGACAGATGGACGAGAGGGTGGGTAGACTAATGGACAGATGAATGATGGATGGACAAATGGATTGACGAATAGACAGATGGATAGATGGATGGATAAATGGATGAACAAATGGAGAGATGGATGGAAGAAGGGATGGATGGGTAGATGGATGGATGGATGGATGGATGGGCAGATGGATGGAGGGATGGACCAATGGATAGATGGACAGACAGATAGATAAACGGATGGGTGGGTGGATAGGT